TATTTCTATGGAAGGTGCTCTATAAATAGGTATTTATTGATCCAGATCAAGGCAGGTGTGAACAATCTCCTGATCCGTTTCAGAATGCGTCCAGTTCAACCAGTGTGGGACGTGTTCCTTCTTTGATTCCTGTTCTGTTGTGAAGAACTACACGGTTTGGAAAGTTGGAGACTATGGAGAAATTTCTGGAAGGGATCACATGAAAGCGGAGATTTACACCAACGGGCCCATCAGGTAGAAGAGCTTTCTTTCTTCAAACTACAATTTATGTGAGACGTTTAAATACACTGTTCTCACATGAATGAATATCTTCTCTGATGAAAAGATTTTAGAAACACAATTCCAAATACCCTGTAAGGAAAGAATTAGGAGATCAAGATTGAATTTATTTGATCAGCTGTATCTGCATGTGAGGAAAAACGATAAGATAATAATGTGGTGAAAAAGCTTCTTACTATAATTAGAGCTGCAAGGTTCATCACTACCATCTTTGCACATCTGAAAACAGATTCTTCTTGAAAAACGAACATACAGCATCTGTGGACATCTTCTCACAGATTTCCATGAGTTTGATGAGTGCGCTTTCATCAAAACCTTTTTATTGCATCTCTGGTTGTATTGTAGGGTCATCTTTCTGCTGGGAGGTGAACCTCAGATGCACTCTCAACTGTTCTGCTCACTCTAACAGGGTTTCTTCCTTCTAGTTAGCTGTTAAGAGCTTTGAGGACGGTATATTCAAGGTGATGTGCAGTGCTCCCCAAAAGTTTAACCTTGGTTTCATCTCAGCAGAGCTCCTTCTTCCGCCGGTTAACTGTTGTTACCTGCAAACAGGACTCCTTATAGCTTTCCTTAAACAATTAAAAAGACAATTGCCTTCTTTCATAAAGCTCACCAAACCTGGTTGTAGCAGAAGGAAAGCTTTCAAAATATAAGCAGTGGGACGTTATACAAGCCAGTGATACCTTTACAAGTGACATGAGGAGAATGAAGAGTGGCCAACCTGTAGAGAGCATGAACATAACATCTGTCTGAGGGGGAAAAGAAAAGAAAAAGATGCTTATATGATAAGGAGACAAGTACCCCATTTACACTACCCTTGAAAAGCCGTGCTGAGACCGGTCCGAGCTCAGTAACTGAGATAACGTATCGTGTGTAAATGGAAAGCAAACTGAACTGAACCGAGCTAGACGCAACTGAACCGAGATAACTGCAGACCAGTTCCAGAGGTGGGCCCGGCTCGGTTTTTCCCTGGCTCGGTTCTCTGATAACAAGAGCGCATGAGCAGAACGCGTCATCTCCGTCTGGCTGCACATCCCGATTCACACTCCATTCCAGTAGTTGGCGGTAATGCCCCACCAGAAACAAAAGAAGAAGAACAACTTTTTCTTCAACTATAAACAACAATCGAAATCTTCTCCACAAAACATTTTAAATAATGGCATTTTAAATAACACCAAAGTACAGCAATAATAATTGAGCATAACTTTCTAAATGTGACGGGCGCCGCCATTTTGATTTGCTTGATTCCCTCCTTCTTCGTCTTCTTCTTCTTGTGTTTTATGGCGGTTGGCAAACAACTTTTGGTGCATTACCGCCACCAACTGCTTGATTTCCTCCGTCAATATTGGCAGTAATACCGCAGATCGTCACTTGGAGGCGAGGAGTCGAACCGAGGTAGCGTGATGTGTAAACGGTCGTTTGAACCGAGCTTGGCCTGGTTAACTGATCTGAGCGCGTACCGGTCTCGGAATGGATCGGTTTTTCAAGGGTAGTGTAAATGGGGTAAAGTTAGACCAACATTGGATGACATGTGTTGTGAATTGGTGCTATCTAAATAAACTAGATTATAGCATTTTACATTAAACTTGAAGAAATTGCATAAAATGTTGCAAACACATTTTGAGACATGCAGAAAACCAATTCAGCTTTTTCCTTTGTCTCTTAGTTGTGCTCTGATGGCGACTGAAAGCCTGGAGGAATACTCCGGCGGGGTTTTCTCAGAGTTTCACCCTCTCTCTCTGCCCAATCACATCATCTCGGTGGCAGGCTGGGGTGTCGACGGAGATGGCAGCGAGTACTGGATCGTCAGGAACTCCTGGGGAGAGTTCTGGGTCAGTTTATTTCACTCCTCAGCTCTAACTAGTGACCAGTGTTTGCTCTCTTCAGAAGATGAATTTGCTCTCGCATGGAGTCCTTTTTGGGTTTTATTACATTGGGGATCGTTTGTTTTCTGACAAGTCTTCCTATCAGACACTGTGTATACCGTTTGCTCTATGATTGAGGTGGTTTTGTGTTTCTTGTTTTCAGGGAGAGCACGGCTGGGCGAGAATCGTCACCAGCGCCTATAAAGGAGGAAAAGGCAACTGGTTTAACCTCGGCATTGAGAAAAACTGTGCATATGGAGACCCTATTGTAGCATAAAGTCCTCACTAGACCCGGATGAGTCGCCATCATCTTCTGATTTTTATTTTTTAACACTTTATAAATGCAATGGACTATTCTAAACCCTTTAAGAAGCTCATTTTGTGAATTTAGAGGGTTTGTTTCTGCAGTTTACATTCGCTCAGTGACAGGAATGATATCAATTCAGGGCTTTTTTCAATCAAAATCTGTTTCTTTTTTAGTTTTGTATCTGGCTGCACCAGCATTGAATTTATTGTGTTTTTGTTCCTGTAATCACCCCACAGTGTCAAGAACGCACATACTGGCTCATAAGTAGACTTGCACTTTCACTAATATTTAGATCAATGTCCTTTATTAAGTGGATATCTTTAATATTTTACTACTCTTCCAATAAAGTTAGTTTGTTAAAATTGGCTTACCTCATGCTACTAATGCATTATTAATCATAATACTACTACTGCAAATTTCCCGTTTGAGGTTGGATGTGTGTTTTTAGATCACTGTGGTGGTTTAACACCTGACTGTACATAAGTTTCTCACCTTCAGAGGAAAGGAAGTTGGTTAAAAGAACAAACGCCCTGGAGTGAAGCTGGTCTTATTAAAGTTTTCTGCACTGCCTGGAAAAGTGTGATTTTAATTTCAGTTTAAGTTCAGGTTTGGATTTCTATGAAAAACTGGAAATAAGTGAATGAATAAATATAAACAATTTATTCCTGTTTTTTGTTTTTTTTTTGTCTTAACGTTAACCCCTTCCTTCTTTCTTTGTCTCCTTCTTTTCTGCCCTCTGTCCTTTTTGTCACTTCATCTCTCTCTCAGGCCTTTTTACCATCCTTTAATTCTCTTTGGGTTTTTTTCCTTTTTCTCTTCTGTTTTCTCTTTGTCCTTCTATTAATTATGTTCCCTCATTTTTTGGTTCCTTCTGTCTCCCTGTTATCCTTCTATCCCTGTGTGACGGCATCTAGTTTCTGTTCTTAAAGAGTCTTTTCATTAAATTTGTTTTGGGAACTCTGGACTCAGTGAAAGGAAATCAACTTGTTGGAGTGCAGAAACCTTCACACTCAGGCGTCTGAACAACAGTCTATAGCCCATGAAGACGGATATAAACATTTTTGTTTAGTATCAAGAAAAGTGTTGGTTATGTTTACCGAAGGAGTCTGCAGTAACTTTTACAGCCTGGTGGTGGTAGCATCATCATGCTGGGGGGTTTGGGTTCCTGAGAACAGGCCTTAAAGTCTTGATCTTTTGGCCTTAAATCAGCAGCTTAATGTTAAAGGCCCATAGAGCAATCATGCATTTAAAGGGGTGTTTGAAAGAAAGGAAGAGGCTAACATGAAGCTTCTAGAAAGCTGTGATCTCAACATTACTGAGAGTGGATCATTTCTAAACCCATGTCAGGACCAGCCTTCCTCATTCAGTCATCAGTAGCAGTAAACATAGCATTCAGACAGTTATAATGCATTTCTCTGCAAACATAAGGGGCTGGAATTCAATAATTTCAAACTTTTAACTGTTTCCTATTTAAATAAATCCAGTATAAATGACTGAATATATCTCCACAGCATCTTTTAAGAAGACACCCCAAACTGCCTGACTTCCTCCTTCCACATCTTAAGCTGCATAAAGTCAATTCAAGATGCCTTACTGCAGGTTTCACACAAGGAAACACATGTTGAGCCCAGGCTCTCACATTTAAATTCAACATCAGCAGATCCTAAGATGTTTTAGCGTGTGATTACAGAACAGTATATTTTTTTTTTTTTTTTTTTTTTTTTTTTATGCATCACAACAAAAATGTGTATAAATGTCTCCCGATGTGCCTGGAGAGTGACCACTCTCACCTAGTGAAAGGAGGCTTGCATTGAAACTACATCCATTTAATGAGCGGGATCCTTTGAATGATACGGAATTCATATTCTGACTCTTGCTTCCATGTGTTCTTTTTCTTAGCATTTGGTTCTAATCTGGGAAGAAAACAGTTATATTCTTTGTATTTTTCCATCAAACTGTGGGGAAAAGATTTCAGCTGACATTTTCTCTCGTTTGATTTGTGACCATGAAAAAACAAAAAAAAACAAATTCACCAACAGGATGATCCTTCCAACAAAAGTTGGACTTTTTGAACTTTTACACAATGCTCCCTGTGAATCTAATGGTTTAAAAATAACCCTGCAGATATTTACCAGTCATAAAAGCTATGGAGTTTTAAAAAGTGTGGGAACATGTGACATTTCCTGCAAAAAATGGAAACATATAAACATGCTTGAGCTTCCACATTTTACTTATTTTGTGTTAACTACAATTGATCTAAATCTCTTAACAGTAAAAACAAATATTTGTTTAATTAATGTCTTTTAGTTTCCATATCAAAACTTTATTGTTAAACAACTGGATTATCCATACTAAATAAACCACTGAAACTTTAAATTAGTTTAATTATGCTACTTTTTTAGCAGCTTAGATTAGAGCTGTTTATGAAAATACCTGAAATATAAATTGTAAATGGGAGGAATATTGAATCCAGTGGATAAAAAGACTTACCTTTGAATAAAAAAATATACTTTATACCACATATTAAACTTAGCTTTAAAATGAATTACACTTCCATCCTCACAACCTTTAAAACATGATGCTGCTTCCACCGTGTTTTATTGTGCGAATAATGTGGTTAGGATGATCAGAGTACTGTTCATGTCATCTCTTTGCTTCTAATGTATCAATGATCTGGTTTTTAATGATATCTCTAATTGTTAAATTTAACATCAAATGTTCAAAGCCTCAGATTTCACCGTGACATTTTTTAATAAACCAGGAAGGCACCAAATTGGAAGTGTTAAATTTCAAAACTTTTCAAAGACACAGAAAATGTTTAAAATATTGTTATTTAAAGGGGAAGTACTTCCAAAACTTGCTCTTTAGTTGCCTCCTCAGTGAACTGTTAGATGATTAAAAAAATTAAGGAACTGAAAGTAACAATTTCAAGCATGACTATGGTGGGAATTATTTGAATTCAGTTTTCAATTTCAAAACTGAAATTTGTGAAACACAAGCTTCCACTTCAAACGCAAGATCGATGAGAGAGATTTGTTGGATGAAAGTCATTAGATTCTTCATCTGTCCTGAAACCACAGCCCTGTGAGGTTATATTCAGGAGTTATAGCTTTTAGTAAAGACATGTGAAACCTGTATGGAAAATCTTTACATATATGCGGTCTCTACTGTAAGATCAAAAACATAGTGGGAGTAGGGTTAGATTTTCGTTGCTGATATCATACTAAGGTAAAATACCTGGAAAGGTCCTTTACAGAGACAAATACCTTCTTAACATTCTTTTGGCAACTAGCAGACAGGGTATGACCAAGAAGTGACTGCAAATTGATCATCATATAATGGGCCAATGGAAGAAAATTGTAAAACAAATCTGTAGTATAGAGAAACTTACATTTGCTTTGAAAATGAAGTAGGAAAATATATTAAATACTGGGAAAAAGGTTCTGTATATATTTTAGAATGATTCAAACTGAAAAAAAAACTTTGAAGTAGGGGAAACGGTGTGAGTCAATTTTATTTCTTGAAGCATATAATGCTCAATAAAGGGAACATGTAAAAAATATAAAAACAATATAACGTAAATTAAAACAAACTTCTGTGAAATAAAACTTTCCAGTTAGGAAACAACAATGACTGACGATCAAATTCACATGATGTTATGCAAATGGTATAAACAACAGGTGGAAATTGTTGGCACTTAACAAGAAACACTCAATAAAGGAGTGGTTCTGCAGGTGGGGAACAATGACCACTCCTCGGTAGCTATGCTCTCTGGCTGATGTTTTGGTCACATTTGAATGTTTGTGGTGCTTTTACACTCATGGTAGTGGTTTGCCCTGGGTTCCTCCTAATGCAGGACAATGCTAGATCTCATGTGGCTGGAGTGTGTCAGCAGTTCCTGCAAGATGAAGGCACTGAAAAAATGGACTGGCCCGCTATTCCCCAGCCCTGAATCCGATTGAACACTTCTAGGACCAATGTCACCTTAGACCACAGACTGTCCAGGAGTTGGCGGCTGCTTTAGTCAAGATTTGGGAGGAGATCCCACAGGAGACCATTTGCCACGTTATGAGGAGCATGTCCAGGCGTTGTAGGGAGTTCATACAGGCATGTATTGTGTGATTTTGTCGTCAGCACATTCAACTTTATACAGAACAAAGGATTCAGTGAGAACATGTCATTCATTCAGATCCAGGATGTGTAATTTGAGTCTTGAGTCTTATTTTTTTTTTGAGCATGTGTAAGTATATTAATGCATATATTGGTATATGATATTTTATCTTATTTTTGTTTTGTTTTGTTGGAGCCTGTGTTCTCACGTTTTGTTTTTCTTTGATACACAATTGATACATATAAAGCATTAAAACTCAACACTGCCCTTCATTTGCATGTCTTGCCATAGTTGTAATTGTTACACATTTTGTAATAATAGCTCTTAATATTGATACAGGACCTTTTAAAA